TGGATGGATGGATGGATGGATGGATGGATGGATGGATGGATGGATGGATGGATGGATGGATGGATGGATGGATATTTATATATATAGTTATTGCACTGGGTGTCAACTATAGAGAAACAGGTTATTGCACAGGGTGTTAGTGCCACATTGTAGAGTCTGGTTGCAGCAGGGATGAATAACCTACAGTAGCGCTCCTTTTTACAAACAGTGTAAAAGTCTTTTACTAAAGGAGTTGCTCAGCTCCTCTACAGTCCGGTGCAGAGGGTGGAAGGTGTTGTCCATGATGGATGTAAGCTTGGACAAGACCCTCCTCTCCACCATTTCCTCCGCTGAGTCCAGAGCGTGGTCTAGGACAGGAACAGCCTTTCTCACCAGATTTTTCAGTCTTTTACATACACTGGGTCATACAAGAGACAGGATTCCAGGCTAATGTGCATCAAAAATCTGGAAATTGTTCCAACCATTTTAGCCTGATTAGACAAGGTCTTAAAACTCACAGTCTGAGAACTTTACATCAAGTCATTTAAGTTCATATAGTGTGAAACAAAAGAGAACCCAATCGTGCACCTATAAATGTATGTGACAGTTTTTTTTTGTTTTGTTTTTATCTAACAAGTCATCATCTTTCATTGTAACATGCGTCACTGAGTAAAAAAAAAAGAAAATGAGGGCAGAGGGCCAGTGAGGCAGGAGCTATCACTGATCAAGTCTGAAACCAGACTGACTCTGTGATTGGATTATGAAGTTGCCTGAAGGCAACGCAGACCTTTAGCAGGGATCCAGCTCATGCTCGTCAACTGCTGGTCAAAAGAGGTGCTCTTTCTTCCATGGAGGCTTTACGTACACAGTTTCGGATTGCTTCAATAAAGAATCAGGCAAAAAAAATTTTCAATTGGAACATTTTATGTCAAACAAAACATTGCACAGTTAGGAGGAATATGTTTATTGCATGTTTAATGAAGGTTCAACGTTTTGCCTTATTACTAGACTTTTCCTCTCACTATCTTTAGACTGATGAAGAATTTAAGCATCATTTACTGTTCAATATTTGTTCAATCTGACATGGATAAAGTCCCTTGTTAAAGCCTTAAACATTTACTCAAACAATTAATCAAATTCAGGTCAGTTATAGTTTGACATGTCTACAACTGTCTGAACTGTTTTTTTTCCTGTTTTTTTTTTTACTTGTTCCTCTCATTTGTTGTTGATGGTTATTAAATTAAGGGGAAAAAAAAGAAACAAGCCCTTAAGTGCTTTTTGCATGTGGTATCACACAAGGCATAAGTTTAATTAACTCAAGTCAGAAATAATTTGATGACATTATGTCTTTATCTTGAGAAATCATTGCTTTCATAGTGAGCTTTGCTCAATGTGAATTTTTGACAAAAATATGCAGTTTTGATACCTGGGGCTTTGAAACCAAGTTTGTTTCCAGATGCTTTAAAGTGAAAATAAAAAAAGGGTCTGCTAAACTAAAAAAGTCTGAGTTATCATGCATGGATAATATACTGACAATTAACACGATTATTAAAAGGGATGAATGCAGAATGCATAATTTAGTCAATTTACAGTTGATAGACATTGCCTGAAAACCAAACAAATGAAAAAGTTCAAAGAGGAAATCAAACCTATTCATACTGATTAAAGATGAAAGAGTAACCGCTGCCATCTTCACTATGCTTTAGTTTTGGTAACATCGCTTAGGGCTTTAAATTAATCACAAAACTTTCTTTCAAAGATGGAGAGTTTAGTTCTAATGCATTGCGAAGTTGGAATCTGTTCACTTATGCCAGCTGGTTATACAGACTCCTGTGTCGTAAATTACCAGTAAGCAGAAATTACATTAGTATAATTGTATTCACGGGAGTGTTTTTTTAAAAATACATTTGTTTTAACCCTAAGGTGGAAAATTCATATGGTTTGCACAGCAGTGTTTTTTTTAAATAATTTTTAAATTGGTCAAATCATTTTATCTTCTTCAGGTACCTAATAGCATTGAATAGTGGATTCTCACTCAAAGAGGGATTAAAAATGTAATCCCAAAATGAACATGGAGAGAAAACTATAGTAATTTTCTCCTAACTTATTTTTGTTCCATTCTGCAAAAGCTTGATTTTGCAAGGTCCTAGAAAAGGAAGAAGGGATACGTTTTTTTTTGTTTTGTTTGTTTGTTTTTTTACCACATGTGCTTATATTTTAAATGTAAAAAAATCACCTTTTCTCTGCAGGCTCATTCCTCTGTGGAACGAGCAGCCCTGATTGGAGCAATCATGATGAGGAAGGTTCCTACTGATGAAGACTACTCTGTTAGAGAGGAAATGCTGAGAAAAATGGTGGAAGAAGACAAAGCAGCTGGACTCATCCCGTTCTATGTAAACAGCAAAAAACACATCCACATTCACCATATCCTAGAGCTAGCATATATGTGGCTGTTTTAGCTGGCAGCCATGGTGATGTAATTTGACCCATGCACCCAAGGCTTCTGCTGAAAGATAACATTGTTTCTGTTTGAACCGTTGTATGTCGATCTCGTTAGGAGCAATAACCCTCGTCTCATCTGGAGCCACAGATCGAGATCAGTTAGAAGCAGGGAAGCCTTAGTTGTCCTGCTATCCAAGAATAAAAGCAGATCTTTATCTAATCTGAAGAGAGCATAATTAAATAAGTGGTTATATAGTTTTTTTTATTTTGTTTTTGTTGTTGTTTTCAGGTCATAAAATGAAGAAACAAAAATGAGAAACCAAAGACTTCAATATTTTGATGGTCAATATATGTGTGTATTTCAGTTTTGCGCCACTCTTGGCACCACACCATCATGCGCTTTTGATCGTATCATGGAGCTGGGGCCCCTATGTAAGTCAATAAATTCTCTTGGATTATTCATGGGCTCTGATGGCTTCATCCGACATTATTAGAATAATGGGGATTTGCAATAAAAATCTAGATGAAAACAAACAAGGAAATTGAAATATGTTACATTTTCGAAACACAATCTCAACAAATATAAGATGTTGTTTTTCGTGGTTATACTTCTATGATGGTTAGTTATTCAGGCTCAGGATTTTGTATTCTTCAGATTATTAAAAAGAACAACCCAATTTGTTTTTCAAAAGATTATGCTAACCTCTTATTTCTTTTTCTTGTTAGGTAATAAGGAAAACATGTGGATGCACATTGATGCAGCTTATGCTGGGAGTGCCTTTATCTGCCCTGAATTCAGACCTTTACTGAATGGCATTGAGGTGAGTAAAAATCATCATCATCATAAAGTATTATGGCTTGGTTCATTTGCTCTGCAAAAGTATGGACTTTTTTCACATTCTGTCATTTTATAATAACAAAATTCAATGTATTATAGTAGTCTGTCATGTAAAAAGTCACAGAAAAAATGCATTAAATAAGTTTTTACACATAGCATGCATTTATATTCAACCCTTTGGGTTCTGATACTCGTAAAAAATCCAGTGCAACAAATTCTCACACTATTTTGTCATTTTTAAGTACACTAATTTGTAAGTAGAATTCACCTGAATGTTATTTAATCTCATTAAGAATACAGCTGCTGAAAGCCTGAGAGGTTTGTTCGAGAACATTAAAGAACGGACAGCATCTTGAAGAACAACCGCACCCAAGGACAGAAATAAAGAGTTAAAAAGCAGATTTAGTTTAAAAGGCCACTTTGTGTCTATCTTCTGATTATATAGAAAGGTTATGAAAAAATCTTATTAAGGCCAAATTTTCAACCTGAACAGACTGACCAGTCACTAGAGAAGAAGAAGAAGTGGGCAAGTGGCTCATTTTGACTGCAGAAGCTGTAGGCATCTACTGTATTGCTATTTACCAGGTGTCTATCAACGCTACAAGAGTATTAGTAGAAAGTTAGACATAAAAAAGATCCCTCAATAATCGGTAGATCAGTTAAATAGTCCTGTATATAGTTTGCCACAAGCCATGTTGGGTACACAGCAAACATGTAAGAAGGTGCTCTGATATGGGACCTGGCACAGAGCTCGTCTGCCTGGCTGTGTGTTTCCTAGACAGGGCTGCATGGGGAGCTGATTGACAGTTAGCTTTTGTACCTCTGCTTCTGTTTCTATGTCTGCTTCTCTCTGCTTGAACCCAGTCGGCCTCAATACATGGCCGCTTACACTGAGCCGGGTTCTGTTGGAGGTTTCTTCAGGTCAAAAAAGGAGTTTTTCCTCTCCACTATCGCTATAAGCATGCCTGGTGTAAGGGATTGCCTTCAAGTCAATGAATTATTGCAATCAACTGGTTTTCTTAGATAGAAAACTTTGAATCAATCTGCCTATGATCTGGTTGAATTGTCTCTGTAAAGTGCTTTGAGATGACAGGTGCTGTGAATTGACGCTATATAAACTGAATTGAATCTTTCAATGTAGAGAAAAATTAACATATCTGACGCACATGCAAAACACTGTCTGCCACAGAACACGTAAAAACATTTTCTCCGCTTAAAAAACAAACAAAAAATAAATGTTTGAGCATCGCAGCATTAGTTGGAGCTGAATACCTGGATCTCCAGGAAGAAAGAAATGTTTAGAGAAAGGAGAGTACTTAAGACTGGCGTAGATGTTCACCTATTGATCTAGTACAATACAGAACTTATTGTACACCAGGAGGTGCTGAAAGTCTATTCATGTACCAGCCAATACCAGGACTCTATCAGTTTGAAAACCTTTAATGAGACCTCATAAATGTTATTCACAGGTCCTCCATATCTGATGTGAAAAACTATCAGCGAAATATCTTAAAACAATTGTACTGTAGCAGTTATTGTTGCATAACTTGTTTTAAAACAAAAATTGACAGAAGCTCCACCAAAATGAATTATTGAATAATTTTCCTTCCAATTCATCATTATGCACTACTTTTAGTCCATCATATCAAATCTCAATGTGATACAGTACATTAAGACTTGTGGTTGTAATCTGATGGTATCTGTCCTTGTACAAGCTGTACGACATGAATGCAAGGCACCATGTAGTAAAAAAATCAATCACCAGTTTTGCATGACTTAATCTTATCTATATGTAACAAAAGCCTGGGAGGAAAGAAAAACAAAGTGTTAGGATATCTAAAAATTTACCATTCTTACGTCATGGTCCCAAAAAGAATATACATACACCTTCATAGAGATGTGCTGTTCTGACCAAAAAGGAAAACCACTTTCTGCTCAGTTGCCTAAGAATTATCTCACATTCGATCCATGTGACAAAACACTAACATCATAGCCCTTGAAAAGAGCATAATGTTAATGTCAAGGAGGAAGCATGCTAGACAGAGCAACGGACAGAACAATCGGCATAAGATGCGGGATCATCAATCTGCCTTTTGAGGCTACGCAAGCAGCTGTTGCTCCCCACGCTGTGTAGAGACGCAGAGATAAGGGCAAAGTAATTTCCTGAGGCAGCATTGGACCTTTATATATCACTGTTTATTGGACACCAGTTCAAAGAGCGGTGGTAAGGAGATAGGAGAAGGCAGTGTTGACGTTAAAAGCCCCAACAGTTTTTTCATCTTTTCTTCAACAGGTTGAAGGAAAATAGGCTTAAAGATTCTTTTGCTCTCTTGCTGTTATTTACTAGTTATTCCAGTTTGCAGTATTCATTTTAAGTCTATTTTTTTTTTAATCAAATTGCTGTAAAGAAAACATCACAACACATTAAGTTGTATTTAACAGTGTTGGATGAACAAATAAGGTAGAATCATGGTACTTTCTGGATGAAAGGACACCTGGCTGCCTGGTTGGTTGCTAGGATATGTGAAATGGACAAGGGGAGTCAGTCAGCATTTCAACTGTCAGCCATGAGTCTGAATCGCATTGTCTCTGAATGGTGTTATTGCATCTGCGGAGGTAGAGAAAAGGATATTACGAAAGACAGATAAGAAAAAGATGGAAGGAGATTAGGAATAACTCATCTTTCTTTGAAGGCAGCAGTAAGGAAGGGCTGATATTTGGTGCACTCCTTAAGCTGCACGCTGGATGCTTCTCTTTTGCATTTCAAATAAGTTTGGTTCCCTTTAGTCTAGATACTAATGATGGCAACATGGTTTTCTCTGCAACCAGTAGATAGATAATGATTATTTAGATATTTTTTTTAAAACAACAATTATATCTATTTGCTTTATAGAATACATTACTTAAATAATTACTTTGTTGACTTCTAAAGATGTGGATTATTTTTCGGGTATCAGTAAAAGTGGCTGAATACAAATGAAAGACGCTTTTCTAAATAATGTTAGTAGAATTTGTATACTTCTTTCCTTTTCTGGGCTCCTTTCTATACAATCTATTCTATACATTTAAATTTGGGGATGTCATGTGAAACATTGTACATAATGCTATAGAGGGTGTGAATAACTTTGTACGCAACAATTTAAGTGAATCAGTTACTTTTGCTGTACAATAACTGATTTTGTTTTTTTTACTTTAAAGTATGCAGACTCTTTCAACTTCAATCCACACAAATGGCTTTTAGTCAACTTTGACTGCTCTGCAATGTGGTAAGTTTGCACCATACTTATTTTGTTAATACAGTGTGAAGGATTTAGAATTAATGGATTAAACATGTAGCTGATTGAAAGATCTTATTCAAAAAGGAACATTACCCTACTATTTTTAGAGAGTCGTTTTTCATATTGGTCGTCAAATTATTTCCCAGTTTACCTTTGCTGTGACTCATGGGCCCCTGAAGCAACAATGAGAACTGATATCCATCTACACCTTTATCATTTGCACTGTAAAAATAGAACTACGTCTTCCACCTGGCCCCCCTGTCAGCACCAACAATAAGAGTTGCTTTCTACAGGATATAAATGGCTTCAAACAAGACTTCTAAAGGAAATTTTCCCATAGCAAAAAAAGCTTATATTTTTGCAGTGTAATTATATATAAAATGACCAGAAATCAATGGATAATTAGGAAAGTAAAACTGATTTCTTCAGGTTTTTATGATAATAGGCATTTCAAAAAATCAGCTTTATTCCCATATCCAATTAGAAAATATTGGAATAAAAAAGTCCCCATTTTAGGATTTGCAGGATATCTAGTTTAGAGTACTTAAGTTAATATTTGAGACTGTAAAACAGGGTATAATAAAGGATTTTAAATATACAAAATCTTCAGGGATGAAATGTATGTAAACTTCTGAATAAAGGAAAGTAAAGTAATAGAACAGAGTCCTTTCACTGACTAATATGGCATTTGGTAGTAGAAATAGCCTAAGCTGTATCATTTGTTGTAAAACTATTTGCTCCAAAAGCACTTGCATGGAGCTCACTTGATTTATCCCAAAATTAACATACAAAGGTTAATGACAGATGTTCAGTCCAAGAAAGATGCTACACATAATCACAGTTTATATTCAACAGTTAAGAGTTTGAGAATTTAACTTTATAAGAATTAAAAACAAATGTGTGGATTTCCTGAAAAAGATGTTTTCTTTGATTATTGACAGGGTGAAGGAGAGAACGGACATCATTGGAGCTTTTAAAATGGAACCGCTCTACCTGAAACATGAAAACCAGGAATCAGGTAGAGTGAAAATAATCTTTCATCATCATAACACAAATTAAGACCATTTCATTTCTCCTTTAGGCAAATTTTCTTAGGGATGAAATGATAATACATCAGCATTTTAATGATTTCTGAAGCATCATTATGAAATATTTGGAAGAAGCGCTTTGCAGTGCAATTTGAATATTTAGCATTTTGTTATTCACAATCCACAAACTGTGTATTTTTGGGTAATCTAGTGCTAGTGCTGTCACACATTGACGATTTAGCATGCGTATGCTTGACGTCCCAGAATCTTCTAAAATGCTGGCATATGCTGAGCTTTCTATGTAGTTTTTCAGTTTTGGGCATACATATAGAGTATTCATAATGAGTCCACAACTTATGCCTAAGGACACTCTAACCTATGCATAACGTACAGCAGTGTAATGTCTCTGAAATATCACAAGGCAGTCTCCTGATGGGAGCAGCAATGCGCCCCACCAAAAAAAAAAAAAGAATAAATAGCTAAAAAGAAAAAAAAGAAAGAAGGTTTGCAGTCGTAGCAGATTCAGCGTCATGTCTGCTAGGAAGTTTGTTGGTTGTGGCCGTGTGTGTGAACGCAGGGAGGATGCATCACACTCACCTTCTCACTCACCCTATGATAGAGATGAAAGCCTCAATGACACTACCCTTTTGAAACTTTGCCGAGATAGAATAACCGTTGAGTGTAAATGGCATGTAAAACTGAACCGGACCGAGCCAGACACTACCAAACTGCGCTTAACATTATATTAGTTAATCAGAAGGGCTCAGCAACGGCTCAGTTCTGGCTCAGTTCTCAGATAACAAAGAGTGCATGAGCAGACCGTGTCATATCCTTACAGTCAGACTCCGTAATCATGACATTTCAGAGATTCATAAAAACACCAGCTTCTCCACCTTGCCACATGATTTCCAGTGATGTTTCTGCTTAGTAGTGTGATGAACCTCAAGTCCTTTCATTGTCTCCTGCATCTGTAAGCTCTGATTAGACTATCGTTTGTCAATTCACTAAAGGCTGCTTTATTCGCCTGACTCTCCGCAAACAATGAAATATCACAATTATAACCAAACTTCCTGAATGTTACGTGCTCCGCCATGTTTTTTTGCTTGTTTACCTCTACAGAACAGTAGTACCGTAGATTGTCACTAGTGTGGTGTGTAAATGGTTGTATGGAACCGAGCTCGCCATGGTTAACTGATCTAAGCTCGGTCTGAACTCGGCACAGATCGGTTTTCAAAAGGTTAGTGTAAATGGGGCTTAAGTCTGGAGGAGCACTGACGGTTTTCTCCTGTGACCCCCCATTACACCACAACGCTGCAAATACGCCATTATACAGTACCTGTAAGTTAGAAACATGTTCATCTGTCATCTATGACACTTAAAATACATTGATATGTGTTGGAACAAAGTTCTTGAAAAGTTACGCATAAGTTATGCAAAAGTTATTATAGGTTTTGGATAAGTGAGACTTAACGTATGTCAATGATCAGATAACTTACCTGTAACTTATGGCTTTTGCCAGATTTTTTATACGTCAGGCATATGCTGTCTAAATCGTCAAGGTGTGACAGGGGCTAAAATAGTCTAGTCTAATTTGGTAGTGGGGAAATGTTACATAATGTTCAGTTTTTATGAGTAATAGAATCCGTAAAATGTAGCATCCATTTATATTTTGCCCTTTTTTCTTTAATCCACTAAAACCCTTTCTAAGACTCAGCAAAATAATAAGTGAAGTTGAACTATGTACTTTAACCCAAATAAAGGTGTTATGCAAAGGCATCAATGATTTGCTAGAATGAACAAACTGTGTCATTAAACGCAGCAGACAGGTCAGGGATAAAGTTGTGAAGATGCTTAAAGTTTTAGTGGAGGATGTTCTTTTTCATGGATCATCAAAATAAGTGGTCCTCCTAATTGTCAATCATTCTGGTGATATGTTTACGTAAGGCCGTCTTACGTGCTTGTCCACATTTTTACTTACCTTTGGTGAGTCTGACATAGTGGAAAATTGCAAATCTTCGACTGTGATACAAACAGCAGCTTTTAAATAGAGCGTGCAGGAGGAGAAATGGGCTTGTACATGCTCTCACACACGTTCAATAGACGTTTCCTCTCGGGAACGGGTACAGTGTTGTGCATGTGCATCTTTTTTTTTTAAATTGGAAAGGGCGGGTCTTCAAAGATTCACGAAGATCCTCCACAATACCTTTAAATCAGGGATTGATTAGAAAGAAGCTCTGCTCATCTCCTTTTGTGGTATAACATCCATCCATCCATTTTCCGTACGCTTCTCCTTACTGGGGTCGCAAGGGTTGCTGGTGCCTATCTCCAGCTGTCAACAGGCAAGAGGCGGGTTATACTCTGGACTTGTCATAAGTCCATCGCAGGGCAACACAGAGACAAACAGGAAAACCAACCATTCATGCACACACTTACACCTGAGGAGAATTTAGAAAATGCACATATGTATTCTCCCCTTTTAGATGGGAATAGAACACTTAAATCCTTGTTAAATCCATAACTTTTACTGCACGTCTTTTAAAATCATTAACACTATGGGCAGATTTGACAATATTATGCTTTGTCTCTGTGGATATAAATCTGTTTCTTGCTCTGTGGGGAGGCTTTGCATTGTCTTAGTTTCCAGATGGGCTCAGATTTGCACTATAATTTGTTTGAGAGGCAGATACAGCCAGCACCCACCACACCAAGGCATCTTGTGAAAAGCTGGACTCTTCAATCTGATTAGTGCTTATTAGCTGAAGCTAACCCAGGGCCTCCATTCTGCAGAGATCAGCTACCTGGCAGTGAGGAGTGACAGTGCTGTGATCAGTAAGACAGAGGAGGTGGGCACATGGGCAAGGAACAACACCTGGACTCTGAAAAACAGTTATAACAAACTCTAAACCTCTGTTGGAGTTTCAGCAGAAATTATTGTCTGGTGCAAATAAAGACATCAACCCAAATGGACTAGATTGTTATTCACCTGATATTTGAATGCAAACTTTTATTATTACTTCAGCTTTTCATCATTAGTATTATGTTGTTTTTTTGTTTTGTTTTTTTTTTAACAGGGCTGGTCACAGATTACAGGGTAGGAGAATTTTTTTGTTTGTTTTATAAATGAAAAAAATACCAAAAAATATCTATAATAATGCAAATGTAATAGCACTGACTGCTTTTATATCTTCATCCCCCAGCATTGGCAGATTCCTCTAGGAAGGAGATTTCGCTCTTTGAAGTTGTGGTTTGTGTTTCGTATGTACGGACTAAAAGGCCTGCAAGCTCATATACGGAAGGTAGGTAACAGACTGAGTATTGAGCATTAGCACCTGTAGCCTGGTGGAGTGGATTTGTCTGATATATTGTGCGTCTGCTTTGCCTTGCCATCTACCTGTCTTTTGTGATACACCAACCAAAGGTTGTTTGCACTGAAGTGAAAGATATGTTTACTCTCTGTTCACTTTTTATTTCAAACAACAATAAATTCTTACCAGCTTCCCTGTCCCTCCTGAAGAAATGCAACTCCATTGCATGCATCTTTCTATTTATTTTAAAAATAAATAGGAATATAGGTATATCATACATTTCTGCCAACATTTATAAAGGGAATGATATCATATTCCATTAGGTACCAGTTGTAATGGAAACAATAGCTTCTTCAGTCCACATTGAATATGTAATAACTGGCACTGGTAGAATGAAGGGGCTGTCTTGGTACATTATACAAAGGTTTTGGACATATTTTCAACAACGGGAGTCAAAGGGTTAAATGTTACTTACTTGCCCTCTAACAAGCCACAAATGGGACTTTGTATGGCTTGTTTTCTTCTACATGTTACTCTTCCATAAAGCTGCAGGTATCTGCAGCTGTTCCATGGTTACCATATGCCTACATGACAGATTTATATACGTTTAATTACCCACAGGTGTACTATACTTTCTAAATTATATATTTTCTGGTGGCAATCATTACGTAGGATGTTGTTTAGAGCCGCAAAGCAAAGGGAGCTGACTACACATGCACGCAACACTTTTGCATGAAATAATGTTTGAAAATTCTGTACATTCTTTCTTTTGTTCCTATAGTATGCACTGCTTTGTTGGCATATCAATAACAACACTTTGTATGAATGCTGTTTAATACTATTTAACAAGGTACATGCATTTAAATTATTGTTATTAATTTAAAATAGATCTCACTTTTTGTGTGACAGCACAAATAACTGTCCCTTCATCTTTGATACCCTGTTGATAATTATCATGATGTTAGTAGGGGTTGCAGGCTATGCAAGCAAAGAGATTGATGATCAGAAACAAACAACTGCAAGACACAGAAACCCTTAATACAGATTGCAAATATGTGTGGCTTTTTTTTTATTACTTATAATTCAGATAAAACCAGTTTATGCACGTATAAGTTTAGCAGCATGACTTTGCATTTTTTGGGGTATTTCTCTGGCATTCCTCTCTTGCCCATCTCTAAAACTAAAAATGGTAAATGCCACCTCCTTGCTTCCCACATCTAACCCCTCCAATTCCTCTTTTTTTTTAATACATTCCTTCTTTGCCCGCCTCCCTGAGTCTGTTATCATCAGCATAACTGTAATCCATCCTGTCAATCACATCTGGCTGATATATGCTTGTCTGTAACAATATTTCCTCCCGTCTCTGGCCCATTTACTGCTATTTTTTTTCCCTTTTGATGCTTCATGGCTGAATGCCTGGCTTTCTGTGTTCCTCCTCCTACTTCCTCTGGTCTGCTCTGTCGATCAAATGAGCCTGTTTTATGTTTGCTCTTCATTTTAGATAATGTGGCTACTTCTGAGAAGAGCTTCTTTGAATCAATTCAGCTATATAACTGTGGCATCTTTATTTTGAGTCGTGTTCCAATTTTGAAATTTTTTTTGATCATTGCACTTTTCTTTTATTACAATCTTGTTATTTTCATTCTTATTTTTACTCTTATTGTACAGTCTCTCATCTTTTTATTTGATATTTATTTTTTCCTTTTTTTTCTGTAAATTTTCTCATGGTTGACATGAATTTTCCCTCTGAGGAACCAACAAAGACATCTTTATTCTATTCTATTCTATTCTATTCTATTCTATTCTATTCTATTCTATTCTATTCTATTCTATTCTATTCTATTCTATTCAAAAAATGCATAGAAAGTCAATAGTATTGGACAAAAATAACCAGGCGTATCCTGGGAAGCTAATGTAAGATCTCTAGTTTCAAATAGACAGACTCTGTTATAAGGTCTAAAAAGCATGTGTCACATGCAAACTTCACACAATGAGATACTCTCAGATGAAAACGGAAACATATTGTAAAATAAATACAAAGTATCTAACAACTTTAGAGTAATAGATAATTAAGGTACTATATTTATATTTCAAGCTTCCTGGAAATGCAGAAACAAAATGATGAATCATTGTTGGTCATGTTCATTTTGAGTGTCAAGTTTACAGGATAGAAAGTGGCAGGAAAAGTGTAGCAGTGTGGAGTCTTTATTATCATGACTGGGCCGATGCTCTCTTTCATTCAGCATCTCAGGGGCCTCTCTGATCTTAAGTGGATACATTATGCAGCAAGCATGATTGATCACATGCAGCTGTCTGAAAATTATATTTGGTGAAAGCAGAATCAGATAAAAGCATTTCTATATCTTATGTTTGCCTCCTAGATCGTGCCTTCGATTAAGATGCATACTATCATGTAACAAGCCTGTTTTATCAGATGTAATTGGCTATTGATTATTTCATCTAGCCTGTATTTAGTGGGTTTACACACTGCAAAGTTAATTATTTTTAAGGTGGCTGAGGCAACACTGCCATCTAGTGAAAAGAATCAGACAAATTCTGCTCTGTTGCATCTCATATAATGAGAAACATATTTATTATGCAATGGAAAATGTTTCGGCATAACTTTAAATGTAATATTTTCCTACATTAATGATTAGATTTCAAAAGACATCCACAAAAACAAACAAACAAACATACAAAATGTATATAATTAAGTTTAAAACGTTTTGAAATTAAAACAAATTTTGAGATGTTTCTTATTAGTTTAGTTTTCTTATTAAATGTAGAATCAGCAACTGATTCAGCCGGATACTACTACAAATATTTGTATTTTTTATTACCTTTCTAAAAACAAACTAGATGAGATTGCATTATCTAATCTATAACCATGTTTTTTTTTTTTTTTTTTAAGTCTGCTCTGAGTTAGTCTGAGTCATACTGTATGTTGTGCCATAAACTCACTATTTCAGACCCTTTAAATATTTAAACCTCTGTCTGCAGTTAAATAATAATTTTAAGTTTCACATTAATATTCTTGTGCTGAAAATCTCATTTTTTAATAAGAGCTTTTTGGTGTCTTGTGTCTGCAGCAAGTGGCCTTGGCCAAAGAGTTTGAGAGTCTGGTCAGAGCAGACAAGAGGTTTGAGATCTGTGCTGAAGTTGTTCTGGGACTCGTATGCTTCAGGCTCAAGGTAACAACTTACCACACTGTGTAGATCTGTTCATAAGCAAATCATCCATGGAATATTTAGCCTGTTTTTTCATACGGAAGTAGAAGAATCGCTTGAAATTAAACTATAATCCATCTATTGTCGAAGAGGTAGAATTTGCTTTGGGCCTAAAGAGACTACATCATTGCCACAATGACATAAAGGATGTTTGTTTTCCCAAAGGGAGGCTTTAGACTAAAATACTGCATCATTTTTTAAGGCACGGGGGAGGTTGCATCACACTGTGGGGCTGTAATGCTGCTAGAGGCATTAACAAGATGAACACTTTTTAGTGTTCAAGAAGGACAATGGTCCCAGACACTTTAAACTTATTTTTTAGGAGGGAATTAAGCAGGCTACCATTAGAATAATAAAAATGATCCAGACCTCAAATCTATTAGAAATTAAAGACTATGCCTTAAAACCATGCTTTTGCAAGTAAACCAAATGGTCATAATAATCTCTACCATTTTTCAAGATGAAAACTATGTTTGTACATCTAACCAGAGTTATGCCCTAAAGAGATTGTTTTATTTTTGTGTTCTTGTGAACCCCTGTTTTTTTAACTATTCTGTTAGATTAGATTAGTCAGATTAGAAATGTAAACATCATGCTCTCCTTCCTCCCAGGGCTCTAACGATCTGAACCAAACCTTACTCAAAAGGATCACAAAGAGCAGAGAGCTCCACCTGGTACCCTGCCAGCTCTCTGGTCGCTTTGTCCTGCGCTTCGCCATCTGTGCACGCACCACTGAGTCACGCCACATCCAGCAAGCGTGGCGTCACATTACACAGTTAGCCTTTGAGCTTCTGCAGGAGCAGCCACATTGACATAGAATATAGGAGGCGCTATTGCACTTAGTTGCTAAAGTGAAAACCAAAGTTTAGACAAAAGATATGTGAAATTTGCAGATATAAAGTGTCCAAACTTTTCCCAGCTGCCAGTAAAGTTTCAGCCTGCAGCCATGGGAAGCATGGGAAGTGTTTGCCATTACTACTGTATGTACATGTTCGATGGTTTTGTAGATACAGATACATATGCCTGACCTGAGAACATGTGAAGAAACAAAAAGGGAGAAGAGTCAAAGTATTACATTTTACATCTGCAATTCCTTCATCCGTTGTCTATCCTTCTATCTGTCACTGTTTGGTGAGTTGGTAACAGTCTTCAACATTGTGCACTTTCCTCCCTGCAACTTTTCTGTGCTCATTCGGTGTCTTCTGGTTGTCAAATATATAAGTCTAATTAAACTGGAGCTTAACTTTGTAGTTAATTCATTGCATGGTGGTAAATCAGTTGTTCAGTCAGCAAGTCTCTGCAGCTTCTTAGGAGCAGCTTATCTATAACCCAACTTCTCAGTGTACTGTACTGAATGTGATGTAGAGAACTATACTGTCAAGTTTAAGAATTTCATTATTGCTCATTTGGTTAAACCCTTTCATAAGTGTGTTCTATATCTCATTTGTAATGATGCTGATGTTTATTTATGGTGACGCAGATTGGATAACCACCTTTTTTACTGTATTTTTTCTTAAAATCTGTCTTATGCAAAGGGAAATTTTAAAATCTGTTGCATAGGATATTTATATTCTTTTAAATAAGATAAGGACAAATAAATTCTAATGTTTAAAATCTTAATGTTGAAAATTAAAGTATTAATTAAAGTTTTCTTCACTTTATTTTAAAGTATACTCACAGATTATTTTTTTAATTAGTAAATAATAAAGAACGCTACTTTAAGCAAATATGTATGTATACTACATCCCCTGACTTCATGCCTATAATATAAACATGGTGCTTAAAAGACTACAGTACCCTAGGGGTTTTGTGAAATTAGTATCAGTAATGTTGTCCTACTTGTAGAGTGAATATATAATGCAGTGTGATGGAAGACAAGTTAAACAGCTCTCAGTGAAGTGGAGGACTCATATCTGGTTGTGGAACCAATTTTTAGTTGATTTTAGCAACTTAAAAAACGTTGAATTTTTTTTCTATCTATGGAATACAATGATATAATAATGGACATTAAAAGTCTGCACTTTCACAAGAAACTATTGTTTTGTTTGTTGCTTTTCTCTTAGTCAAACAACTTCTGTGTGAGTAAATGAAGTCAAATTGGCAGAGTCTGGCATTTTTCAACTATGCTCTTCATATAACATGAACATATCAGTCTTGGTGCCGCTGCAAAAAAAGCTCTTGGCAGACTTGGCGCAGAGTGAAAAGGTTGAGCTGAGTTGAATGACAGCTGTGTGAACAAATGTAACTTCAGTTTGTCCAAAAAACAAAAACAAACTAGACAGAAACTTAAAAGCACTATCTTATAAAAAAATTTCCTCGTAGTAAAACGCATTTCACCTGGTTATGTCTATTAAGATATAGTGGATAATACAAGTAAAAAAAATCAGAAGTAGAAATGTACGTTTTGAGCTTTAAAGTTAGCAAAAACCAGGAACAAAATAGGGTTTATCTGGTTAGCTTAAACTTCTTAAATCTATGTGATTTTATTTCTGGCCACAGTGATATAAAGTTTGTTCTGAGTCAGAATATTCATTTGAACCCTGAAAAAAAAAAGAAAAAGAAAATTTCAGCTGTAGAAATATATGAAGCTGTATTGAGAATCGAAACTCAACTTCAACTTCATATTTATACTAAACTGAAAAAATACCATCTTGAGCAGACAGAGAAAACCTGATAAAGATTTATTCAAAACAGATGCCACTTAAAAAGATAAGATAAATAATTTGGAGCCTGTGACATCAGAATGAAAAAAACACAGAAAGCAAAACCAAGTGATTCTTCACATACTTACATTTTTTTTTATGTTATAAAAACAAAGATTTTGTTAAGTTACAATGTAGTCCCCTGTAGAAGCTGCCATATCTCAGAGGATTTCTTCAGAAATCCAGAAACTTACAGTGATATGAAATCAATGCCTAAATAGAGGTGCATAAAATCCATCATATCCCATTAAATAAGCAGCAACATTCTGTCCTCAGTGGCTTGATAACAAGAACCAGTACATTTTTTTTACAGTCTCCAATAGTTAAACATATATTCATATTTGAGGATCAGTAAATGTAATGAACTGTTGTGATGAACAAGCATTATTCCTGTCTGTCTCTGTTGGGAGTAAAATAAATCTGTGGAATTTAATGAGCACCTCTTCCTGAGCCACTGTGTGTTTTTTATTACCTACCTGCACATTAGTTGTTATACATTTCCTTGCATACCGTCTGTCTGATGTAATTGATCTCCTCTAGACTTTCTATTAAGTTCCAACAAACAGAAATGTAATAGTGACTTTGAATAAAGCATTTACAGCTACTGCATTTTGCCCTTAGCTGTTCCTTAATGGCTCATTCAGAAGCCAGAGGGTATTGCTTTAGGTATAATTTGAGTTATCCCACAATTATCCTGGGATGCAGTCTTTCTAAAATATCATTTGGAAAATATAACCTCATATAGTAACCCTGTCTCTCAGCCGTCTGCTTGAGTAAAGATGACAGACAAGGACATATTTTATCTAACTAACACGCTGCACCAATCAACCCTCTTTTTGCAACTTAATCCCTGGAGACGAAGGCTCGCATTCTATAAAACAAGAAGGGATTCACTGTTAGAGCTTAGTTTCTAGCAGTAAGCTATTTATCTAGTTAATAAATTAGTAGGGCAGTATGCTTAATCCAATTTAATATGTAAGCATTTTATTATGAGATATAGCCAAACATCTGTAATGGATGTGGGAAGTTTCTCTTTTAGAGAGTATAAAGAAAGCACAAGAGAGAGGCCTATTAGCAGGTTTGTCTGTGAAGACTAAATGGTTACCGTCACGATAAGCATAAGCATAAAAGTACTATTACAGAGTTCTTAGTTCAAGCACTTACAATTATGTACTTGACCTAACCAGCATGAATAAAATATGATTTTTACTTGCCATCTTGTTGAGGTAGACAAAACACACACAGAACAAAATAATGGAAGCAATAAGGAGAGGAATATAGGTTTGAGTAAACACTATTTAACGAGGAAATATGAATTTGTTTCACCCATGTTTTATGTTTTTCATTGGTACAAAAATAATTAAAATCATGTAACTTTAGGCTTTGATGACTATTTAAACAGAAAAAGGAGAAATCAAACTAAGACACCGTTTCATTAAGTAAGTTACCTTTTTACAAATTATATTCTTGCTATTAAATACTCCAATAGAGTAAAAAGAAAAATATTCATGACTCTTGGTTTACTAAAAGCTTGTGTAAAATATAGATATTACACAATAACCATTCCAGCCTTTATAATAAGAGAATATTCTGTCACTATTCTAATATGTGAATTAATCTTCTTTTTGAAAAAATGAAAGTGGACATTTGTTACTCGATTACTGCATTACCTTCATTCAATTGACTTTTTGATCTTTCTCGTTACTCTGTGATCCATTATATATCTTACATATTTGGGTTTTTATGTGTGCGTCAGTAATAATCCCCTGCACATCTCATTCCATAAATAATACATGTCAGCACTGCACCTTGCAACTTTGCCACAAGAGGACCCCATTAGTGCTTAGATACCACAATCTATTCATTTTTCAAATAAAACATAAATAACTCTTTTGATTGCAAGCAAAGAGGTCTCATACTGAAACATGACATTAACTTCTATTTCTTTTGCAATTGCGATTTTAGTTTTAAAGTGTTATTTTGCATGTTATGCAAAACAGATATATGAATAATTCCAGTGTTAACCATTTCCGTCCCTAAGCTATATATATGTATCTTTATAAGACAATTATATCCTCATATTTTTCAAATCAGATATTATACTTTTTTCATACAAGCTCAATGTAAAGCCATGGAAAGGCATGTGCTTACTGCAGACTTAATCAGAGTAGTTTCACTAGCTACACCCAGCAAACTGGGGATGGGGTTTCATTTTTAGACTCTGTTGCAAAGTCAATAATTACGGCTCAACATTACTACTGTTTTTATTTATCTAGTAATTTTTTCATCATTTTAGGAAATATAACCAGCTGAGAAGTCTTACAAATTTGAATGGATATTGAAACATCTCCCTTATATACTTACTTATAAAATCAGTAAGTCTCTTAATTAGAACATGTCTGACAACAAGAAATATCTCGGAAAGCAACAAATAATTTTTCAGAAACAGCGGAGAAACAGTATTTGAAATCTTTCAATCCAGAAAAAAGGCTATAAATCCTTGTCTTAGGCTTTGGGGGTGAACCACCCTGAGAGCCATAATCCACAAATGGAGAAAACACCAAACAGTGGTAAACATTCTGAAGATTGGCCTTTACAGTGTACCAAGATTGGTCCTCAGTCATCAGTGACTTTCTAGAAGACTATTAGACTATCCTTGTTTACTTCAGTTGCATTAAGCCTTCACTAAATATGTTCATATCTTTAGTGAATGGTGAACCGAATGGATCAGTTTTGCAGCAATGTATGTTCACAAGAGCGACTATCACTCAGAATAATGAGCGAGACCCACAGCTCATGTTCCTGTTCAATTAAAAACTACACTTTTCATTGGATAACGTCAGGTTTTTACTGCACTTATTACGTTGGCTGTGTCTGACGTTCGCCCTAACCCCTAAATCCCTCCATCATTATATAGAGCTATATACAGTATAGTGAACTCAGTTAACTTACTGTTTGGACAGATGATCACTACTTTACGCTCCCCATTGGTCAAGTAACTCCTCCTCCACCATGCGGTGCCCTTCACCATCTTTGTTATTTGTACCCGCTATCGAGTAGCAAATCCCATAACCCTTTGCGAGGAGAGCTCTCCACGCAAAGCATTGCGGGATATATCTGCTCATCTAGTGACCATGGACGATCACTACTTTTCAAGGTGCATTGTGGGAAATGTTGAGTCCACTACTTTTTCAACCACTAGACCAGGGGTCGGCAACCAAAACTGCTCCAAGAACCATATACAAAAAAAAACAAAAAACAAATCTGTCTGGAGCCGCAAAACTGTAAAAGTGTTATGTAAGCCTCTGATGGAAAATCGAGCTATAAGTGTATTAGCTCACTATAAAAATGGACTACGTGGGCTCAAATATGTAATAAGCAGTCATGGTTAAATGTTTATCCTGGAGCAAATGTTACATAGTAGCATGAGGAAAGGGAGGAGCAGTGAACGCTCCCACCACGTGGAATTCAAAGCGTGCTTCTTCACCTCCCTTCACAGCGCAGTTTAGGGTTTGTTGCATTGATGAAATTATAGAAAGACGATAAAGGAATCTTTCTATGGTGGACGCGTGTCCGTTGGGAGTAGTTGATTGAGTCATGAGGAACCAAGCAGGAACTGACATCAGAGCAGTGCTCTCTAACCCCGAAATCCAATATCCTCAGTCAGAAGCATTTCTTGGTGTTATTGTTATTTTGAGGATTTGGGGAAAAAAATGTAAGAAAGTTCACATCTCTGCATAAGAGCGCCACCTGTTCGATCTGTGGCCACTTTCCATGCTTGCAACCAAACTAGCAGCAGTAATGGAGTTTGAAGATACGATCCGCTTCTCAAATCTATCTTTCTGCTCCTGTAATTTATCCAGATGTTCTGCAATCACACTTTTTCTCTCACTCCCAACTTGGTGGTCGGCTGCAAATTTAGCATGCCTTCCCTGGAAATGACTTTCCAAATTACTCTTTTTTTTTTATTTTTTTCACAACCTCTCATTACAAAGCGAAAATGCAGGCAATCGTTCCACATTGATAATGGAAGCAGTGGGCTGCCATTGTGTGGCGCTTGGGTAGCAGTGTGGGGTTAAGGGTCTTGCTCAGGAACCCAGAGTGGAGGCTTTGGAGATCGAACTAGGTACTTGAAACCTTCTCAGAGCACAAGCGCCCCGCTCTAACCCACCAGGCCAACACCCCACCATTAAATGGATGATGCTGTCGTTTTTGTAGTGTTTGGTATAACAAATGTTGTTGTGATGGATTTGAATAATTTGTTGTATAACATCATTTTTAGACTTCATTCACTTCATTCTGACTATGCAATTTGGTGTGCTAAACAGTGATGTTTTGATGCTATAAAACAGCAAGTGTGTGTCAAAGGGATGATTTTATCTTTCTTTTAAAAGTGTTAGGCCCCATAAGGCAAGTATTTTCCATTTCTTTATAGTTCATTTATAGCTTTGTGAACTTAGTTTATTTTTGAAAAAGTGGACTATAAACATGGACTAGTTAATTCCCATCTGTGTGAACTGAACTTTGAGCTTGTTCTTTTTAATTATAAACTGGCAAAACGTTGCACAGAGGCATCTCTCTTCCATTTCACATATTGCATACGGGCCCTTTGGTGTTGAAAAAGTAAGATAATTTCTCAAAGTGTAGTCTAGATACACCTAGAGTCCATATCCTGTATCTTCCTGTATCCTCAACCCAGTACAAGTCAGCCTGAATACTACCTCTCACAGGGAGAGTTTCCATTCTTTGTTGTAAAGCTTATTTGCTGAAAGTTTGTCCAAGACAAGTTTTTTTTTTTTTTTTTTCACTTTGGAAGAATCAAATGGGGAAATATTGCATTCTGGTAGCCATCAATGCATAACTGAATCTTAGGTCACAACTCTACTTGAAACCTTAGAGATCACATTACATGGCCTGCATTTAATGGTTCATGTTGAACTGTACACTAGCTGCAGTTCACTCTAATACTTAATACGTAATTATGTTAGGATGAGAGTTTCCTGGTAAGTGTTTGACAGTTTTAGGTTGCAAGATGAATAGGATTTTATTACATTTTGCCTGGGGAGATTCTTTTGTAATTTTACTCATTTAGGAGGAAGTTGGTCTTCTGAAGTGTACAAAAGCCGAGGACCCACAAAGGCAGACTCAGATGGTGGCGGTA